TATACATTTGTTAAAAACTTGCCCAAATAGGCATATATCAACAGAGCACATTTTTAAACATTATGTGTGCATGAGTTATAAGTAGCAACTTGCTTTAATTCGTCTGTCAACACATTTCAAAAGGCTAAAATTACATAAGAAGAATTCTTTAGCTACAATGGAATTAAGCTCTTCATCAGTAACAAAAAGACAAAACAGACAATTTTTATGCTTTAAATTTAAGACACACTGATTTACTCAATATTTAATGTATACCCACTATGTTACAAGTATTGTTCTGAGAAAATGGAATTCTGTAGAAAGCAAACCAATAACTAAAAGTCTGGCAATACAAAGTGTTGGAGAGAATGTGGGTGTACTGGCTAGTTTCTTGTCCAACTTGACATGAGCTTAGTTGTCAAAGAGAAGGGAGCCTCAGTTGAGAAAAAGCTTCCATAAGATCAGGTTGTAGGCAAGCCTGTAGGGAATTTTATTAATTAGTGATTGATGGGGGAAAGGCCCAGCCCATTATGGATGATGCCATCCCTGGGCTGGTGGTTCTAAGTTTTATAAGAAAGCAGACTGAACAAGCTATGGGATGCAAGCCAGTAAGCAGCATACTCCATAGCCATCCTGTCCTGACTTCCTTTAATGATGAACAGTGATATGGATGCTTAAGGCCAATAAACCTGCTTTGGTCATGGTGTTTTATTGTAATAACAGTAACCCTGACTAAGACAGTGGGCTGTGAGAACTTTCACCTTGTTGGTTGACTTGATAATTTGCTACAGTAGAGCTGAAGTCTGTGATTCTGCAAATCCACCCATGCATAAAGTTTAGAGAAGCCTGTTCGATAAACACCAAGAGGCATGTGCCAGAATATTCAGAGCATGATTGCCAGTGACTGCCTGGCTTGATCAGCAGAACTCCCTGACAACATCAGAACACCACAGTAGAATTCAGATAAAATGCAATGTGGGGAAAAGCTCACCAAGTCCCAACCCTACACAAAGGACTCCAAGCAACTAAGGAATAGCTTCCCTCTCCCAAGGAAGAACATACCAATTGGTTATGCAATACCAAATGGTCATATGAGTAACATCATACAGACTAAGCAGGTTGTCCTTTTGTATTCAGGAACACACACACACACACACACACACACACACACACACACACACACACACAACAATTAAAGAAGAAAAGAGGACATGAACTTGAAAGAGCAAGGAGGAGTATATGAGAGGGGTTGGAGGGAGAAAAGGGCAGGGGGAAAAATGTAATTATAACATCAAAAATACAAGAAAAATATTTAAGAATACAATATGGCACATTCATGTAACAGAATACAACAGAACAATGAGACAAACAAAATCGGGCTGGGTGACACTGATGACCTTTTACAAATATGCTGTGCAAAGGCTACAAGATCTAAAAGCCACCAGAATTCCACGGTGGGACTGAAAATAAAGGTGGAAAGCAGTGCCTAGTGGAGGCTGGTGGCTGTGGGAGGTCTTCAGAACTTGTTAACTGGGTGGAGAAGCTTAGTTGGCATTTCTAGAAGACTTTTGTTATTGGTGAAAGGGGAGTAATGGAGAGGGTGGGGTAGGGTTGGGGGTGGGGGAAGGCATGGCATGAAAGGCAAAGTGCCTGGCCAGAAATGTGGAATGTGGAATTGTTTGCGGACCTAGGAAGGAATGGTGTTTGGTCTCATTTGAGACTGTAGCCATATTGTTCTGGAGAATGTATCATGACTTCAGGACTCCCAGCTCTGGGTTTGTGGTTACTCTGCAGCCAGCCATGTTGTGGCTGTATCACAAAGTAGAACACTTTGCTACAAACTGTCGACTGTCTCCAGGCCTCAAGGCCCCCTGAATGGAGGATTCTTGCTCCTTCTTTTCATTCCTCCATCACAATTGTAAAGTTCTTTAAAATCTTGCCTAAAATCTGGGTGGTGGTGGAACATACCTTTTATCCCTGCATGGGGGGGGGAGGGTGATGGAGGTTGGGGGGAGACACAGCTGCAGGTGGATCTTTGTGAGTTCAAGGACAGCCAGCACTATATAGATAACCCTGTCTCAAAACAAACAAATCTTGCCTAGGTTTCCATCTTTCCAAGGGATAAAAGAATAAAAAGAATAGTTTGCTTCAGAGTTCAAAATCTACTAAGAAGTTTTTCTCTCTCAAATCTCTATTATTTCCTGTCTTCCTTAGCTTAGGCCTCAAATTACAACTTTAGGTTCCAATTGACATCATTTCCAATCACCATCTCCATATCTTGGAACCTTTCTCCACAATATTCTGTGAAAGAGAATGTCCCCCAAACACTAATAAAAGTTACAAGTATGAAAGAGAGAGGTGTTATGACCCACATACCTTGTTGAAACTTCAACACCAGAAATTTCAGTGTGAATTATGTGAAATTGTGGACAGTTTCATGGTTAATGGCCTGTTCTGCCAAGCAGTGCCATTAATGCCTCTGGTGAGGGAGAACAGATTTTAATAACACAAGCAACTGGAGGTGGGTGTGAAAATAATAGTGATGGATGGGCCAGATGGATCCTTGGGATGACCCTCTGAGGACAATCTGGTCCCAGTTTAATTCATTTGATCCAGACAGTCACCAGAAAATTTCATTTGAAGTTTGCTTTTGCTTCCTGGAGACCTGGGGAGGCTGTGGAAAGCAAGATAGGCCACCTTGGGCTATTTCAAGACTAACCTCCATCCCCAGGAAGTCACTTTCCTGCTCCATGTTTAGCTCTTGATTAGATTCAGTTTTGCAGCCCTGAGCTTTTTATATTCTCTGTTATATATTGCGGAGTGTTCTTGTGTGGTTTCATTTTAGAACAGACAGGAAAAGAGGTGAGCAGGGAACATAAAGGCGTCTGTTTTATCACAGTCAAAACACCACTGGGACACTGGTAGGAAGGATCATGTATAAAGGCTCTTGCTGCCAAGCCTGAAGATCTGAAGTTAAAGGGGAAAACCGACTCCTGCAAATTCTTTTGATCTCCACACAGGTATGGCTGAACTGTGTACAACACCTTAATAAAATTAATTAATAAATAAGTAAATATAAGGCATTACAATCCTAGTACCTCCAAGTCTGAGGCAAGAAGATAAAGAGTTCAAGGCTATCCTAGGCTACACAGTGAACCCTGTTTAAAAAAGCAAAACAAACAAACAAAAAAAGATGTCCTCAGAATATAACAAACTAGAAAGGGAGAGTAGTACACATACATAGGCACAGGGATAATTGATTCGTTTCCTATTTGACTGAAACTGTGAGAAGTAAATTGTCAAGAAAAGTTGTTCCCGATGAACTAGAAGTCCTTCTGGGTGATGATCCTGAGAAAATATGCCCCAGAAAATTTTCCCTCAGTGGTACTGGTCTCTTAACCGCAGCTGATTCTTGAGGCCCAGTCAATCATCTATGATTGTCCTAGTAAAGCAAAGCTCTCACTTCCATAGACTATTAACCCAAAATATCACACAAACATCCCCGATAGTCTTTGCTTCCCTCTGAAACTTCACAAGCCAGACCTCCATCATATTCAGTCCTCTTGGAAGTGTCTTCCAAGTTTCCGCAGACCAGCTCACTAAGAATTAAGCACTTAAAAACTTTTTCAGCCTAAAATTCCAAATGCTTCTACAATAGTCTTGAAAACGCATGGCCAGGTCCATGACAGCACTACCCCACTCCTGGTAAAATTTCTTTGCTAGTTTGCTTCCCTATTGCTGTGATATAATATTGACCAAAGCCAACCTGGGAGGAAAAGGTTTATTTGGCTTATAGATTACAGTCCATTGTTGCAGGAAATCAAGGCAGGGGCCTAAGACAGGAACTTGGAGGCAGTAACTGAAGCAGGGACTATGGAGCAATGCTGCTTACTGACTTGCTTCCATGTTCACATTCAGCAACTTTTCTTATACAACCCAGAGTCATGTGGCAAGGATGGCAACTCCCACAGTGAGGTAGGCCTTCCTCTATCAATTAGCAAACCAAGAAAGTGTCCTAGAGACAAGTCCATAGCCCAGACTAGGGGCAGCCATTCCTCAGTTGAGGTTCCCTCCTTCTAGGTGTCTTTAATATAAGTTTAAAAAAGAAAGTGGTGCAGGGATCATATTGAGATGAGCCATAGGTTACAGAGCTTCTTAAGTTATATTTGGGGAGTATTGTCTGGGTATTTTAGACTAATGTACAGCAACTAGACTTTCAATTGACCTTTATTTAGTGTACTTTCTTTTTCTTTTCTTCTTCTTTTTTTTTTTTTTTTTTTTTTTTTGAGAGAGGGTTTCTCTGTATAACAGCCCTTGCTGTCCTGGAACTCTGTAGACCAGGTTTGCCCCAAACTCACAGAGATCCACCTGCCGTTGCTTCCCAAGTGCTGGGATTAAAGGCATGTGCCCCCAGAACCCTGCTAGTGTATTCTTCTAGACCTGAATCCAGAAGCATCTTCATCAGATTTACTGTGCAAAAGCAGTCCAGCTATATAAGATGGGGATAAACAGCTGACACCAGAGAGGAAAACAGCAGGGTCTATCAGAACTGCAGTTTTCACAAAAATGTGACACTAAGGACTGGGTACACAAAGTAGAGACTTCCTTTCCAGCACGAAGTCTTCTTTCCCTACAGGATAATGAGAGTGAGATGATAGAACATAGCCCTTACAGTGATACCCAGAGACTAAGGCAGGGAGCTGAAGGCTGTGAAGGCCTTTCTTTTTCCTTCATGGGAAGTTCCTCTGGCCGGTTAGTAATATGCCTGGGGTACTCATCTACATGGCCTAGCATCCCAATGACTCAGCCTTATAACCCAACCAGCTAATGAAGACTGCACTTCATTCCCTGTATACACTACCCTTTTTTTCCTGAGACTAGACACACCTACTCTTTATCATCCACTTTTCATGCAGAATTTATGAAGTGATCAGTTTTTAAATCAAACACAACCAATGTTTCCTCCCTATATTTTCAAGTTCCACTTCCCAAGTTCCCACCTACCCTCTCAAATGTCTGACCTGGAACTGGCCTGGATCAGCCACACCCCTGGGCCTCCGCACCTGCTTCCCATGATCTTTGGTGCTTCTTCAGTAACTTCCCCTCCCTCTTGGCCCAGGCCCCTTGTGCTGTCTGTGTACTACATGGTCAGGGCCTCTAAGCAACATGACATTCTGATGCTGAAAGCCTTGACATACACAGTACCCTCAACAATAGCGGCAAAGGGTCTTGTGTGATGGCATAAGCCAGCTCCTACTGTGTGGGGCTGTGTTTGGTTTGATGTAGGCTTATTTGGCAGCAAAGATGAGAAGCATTTCACCAGGTACAGGTTACTCTTCACAAGTCGAAGGTGGGACACACTAGACGAGAAACTGAAATAGAATCTTTCATGTGACATGGCATTGAAGGGATGGGAAGTAGCGAACCATGGCAAAAAGCCTGAAGAACATGCCAGGCTTTTCTTGCTGTAGCAAGGCTCTCATGGGAACTATGAACAGCAGGATGGATCCTGCAAAGCTCTGAGAACCTTTGCTATAATGTGATCAGAAGTCATTCTGGGTAAGCTCAGTGGTGTCCGGCTGTGTTTCTAGATTTTCTTCTTTCTTTCTTTTCTTTTTTTTTAAAGATGTATTTATTATATATACAGTGTTCTAGCTGCATATATGCCTGTAGGCCAGAAGAGGGCACTGGATTTCATTACAGATGGTTGTGAGCCACCATGTGGTTGCTGGGATTGAACGCAAGACCTCTGGAAGAACAAACAGTGCTTTTAACCTCTGAGCCATCTCCCCATCCCTAGATTTTTCTATAGTTCAAAAAACAAAAACAAACAACGAACATTTGCATGCAAGCACACACATGTCATGCTGGAGGACAAATGGTAACTGGTAGACATTGGTTTTCTTCTTCTACCATGTGGCTTTCAGAGGTCAAACTCAGATTGTGGGCTTTGGCTTCTATGTTAAAAAAAAAAAAAAAAAAAAAAGTTTTCTTTGTGTTTAGGAATACCAAGGAAAAACTTTCTGGTTTTTGGTTTTGTTTTTCAAGACAGGGTTTCTCTGTATAACAGCCCTGGCTATCATGGACCTTTCTCTGAAGACCAGGCTGACCTCAAACTCTACCTGCCTTTGCCTCCCGAGGGCTGGGACTAAAGGTGTGCACCACCACAACCCTATGCTTTCTACTTTTTTATGAGCCAGGAATTTAGGGTTCATCTAAAGTTCATTAACCACAAATGGCACAAATGGCAGAAGCGAGAGGTAACGAAGGAGAGTGCCATGAATTTGTTGAAAGGGCAAGCAAATAAGATTGACTGCCCATTTCAAGTGTGTGTGTGCATGTGAGTGCATATTTGTTTTGGGAAATCAAATTCCTCACATCTGCCCAAAATATATGCCTTAGGTTATATATTTAAACTTGCTGATGCTGGATAGTTTAGGATATTTTAAATTACTTTTATTTTTAGCAGCACTAAGACAGGCATAGACCTATCTTTGGTGCCACAAAAATTTCCTTCATCACTAACACACACAAAACCAGGGAAACTCAAGAATACATTTGCTTTTGCTGAACTACTAGTGTCCAATACACTCACCAACACTTAATTTTTTCTGTATTTAGGTGACGCTGTTCATTTATTTCTCCTTCCTGGATTCTTGTAAACTTGGGGTTATAATCAGTTGGCTTTCTTATTTACTGAAGTTATACTAGTGTGCTTTGGCCTATAAGATGACAACCCTCCTAATTTATGTAATCTTTAAGTATTTTATAACCCATTTTTCTTCCTTCTCCTCCTCTCCTGCTCTACCCTTTAAGTAGGGGGAGGAGTTTCCACAAAGGCATTTAGTGGATATCTAAACATAGGAACTGGGGCAATGGCCCCATGGCCATGGATGATTGACTCAGTTGCGTGAAGGTACAGTTTTAGTCAGATCTAGAAACACTACAGTCCAGTGTCCCAACATATCAACAAAACAAAAAAGCGAAACGATTCAGCTGAGGTCTCTGAATCATTAAGGGCAGAAACGAAATTGTATTTAGGTCTCTTTAAGTCCTTTCTGTGTGGGGTGGTGAATCCTGGGAAAGGGAATGGTACTTGGTGGCTTTTATTTAAGTATCCATTCTACAGACACATCGAGCATTTGCTTTCTGCGTCTCAGATGCTATTTTAAGCGCCGGGGATTCCGTGATGGAGGGTGCAGGAGAGGGGAACCTGTTATGGAGTTTTCACTCTCACAATTTAAGTACTTAGTTAGCTTCACCATTCTCAAAAACTCCCAGCAACCTGGGTAGAAGCAGTTGGGTCCCAAAAGCGACAGAATCTCACCCTGAGCTCTCTGGAGCGAGAGAACTGTTTTATGCAGCAGAAGGGAGAGGAAGAAATTGGTCGTGCCCTCCGCCTTCCTCCGAACCGCCAAGCCTGGCATGGCCAGCTCGCCTGGGATTATTAACAATCGCCTCTCTACCCAGTCCCACCGACTGCTGGAGGACAAGCACAGGGTCTGACTCTAGTGCCATTCTCCTAGGAAGGAATGCAGAGAGCTGGTGAAAAGCCCTCCCAGGCAGACCCGCCTCTCTCGGGCTTTGGGGGTGGGGGTGGGGGCGTGCAGCAAACTGCTCTCTCATGCTGTCCTATTAAACATTGCAGCCACAAGCTCTTTGCAGTTTCTCCGAGGCCACTGCAGCGTCCCCGCCCCGTCCGCCCGTCAGCCCTTACAAGAGAGCTCCACTGCAGCTTTAGGAACCGAGTTCCCTTTCTTCTCCACTTCCTCGTTGCCATGGAGACACACGTCATTTACGTGCCGTGCGTCGCCTAGGAAACGGGGGAGCATCCGCGGCGCGGCCGGGAGACCCGCCCCTGCCGCTCCAGCCGCACTCGCGGGCTCTGCTGGTGGATAGCCCGGGTGCGGGGGGGAGTCCCGAGAACGACGCGCTGCAGGTTCCCGTCTTGACCCCGATCTTTCTGCGAGCGTCTCTGTGACCCGGAGAGCCTGCGGGCACTCTGCCGGTGGTTGCCAGGAGGGCGGCTGGGACACAGGCACCAATCCCGGAGGCGAGCTGGCAATGCACTTTTGCCCCTGGGCAAGCCCGAAGACGCTGGCTCCAGGACCCTAGACGGTTCTTCGTTCCGTGGACTATTGTTTGTCTTCCTTGATCCTGCCGGCGCCCTCTGCCTGGGACCGCTCTTTTCACGTCGGCTAACCGCCCCTCTAGGGAGCCTAGGTGTCCTAGGCACCATCCCGTCCCTCTCAGCACCTCTTTCCCTCTACACCCTTCCCCCCACCCTGGAGACCCGGCTGGACGCGACCCAGAGCTGCCACAGCCCGCTTCTGACACTCAATGGAGGACAGTCTGCTGGAGATCATGACCAAGGACGGTGGAGACATGCCGGCACCTCTGGAGGTGTCCACAGTGCCAGCCGTGGGGGATGTGATCTCTGGGGAGTATAACGGTGGCATGAAGGAACTGATGGAGCACCTCAAGGCCCAGTTGCAGGCCCTGTTTGAGGACGTGAGGGCCATGCGAGGGGCGCTGGATGAGCAGGCCTCGCACATCCAGGTTCTGTCGGACGACGTGTGCGCCAACCAGCGGGCCATAGTCTCCATGTGCCAGATTATGACCACCGCGCCCCGCCAGGGAGGCTTGGGCGTGGCTGGCGGCAAGGGGAGCTCCCCGAGTGTTCCCCACGAGCCGGAGACACCTTCGCTTGGGATCGGGGACAGCGGCTTGCTGGGTCGTGATCCAGAGGAGGAGGATGATGAAGAGGAAGAGGAAGAGAAAGGGATGCCCAGCCCCGCCACACCCACCAGTCACTGTGAGCGCTCTGAGAGCCCCTGTGCTGGTCTCCTTGGGGAGGATGGGCCACTTGTGGAGCCCCTCGACCTGCCTGACATTACCCTGCTGCAGCTGGAGGGCAAGGTCTCTCTGTAAAGGGAAACCCTATTCGGTCACCAACTACCTGGGCTTTGGGTTTTCAAGCGCTTAATGTGAGGGGACTGAACAGTGCAGTGCAGTGTGCTTCACTCCAAACGTGGTGGTTCTTATAGGTCAGGGAGAGAGACTCCCTCACTTAAGAAATTGTAGGGTGAAAGACTTTGGAAGCATCATGAATTCCACCCAACCACGCATCATACCTAAACTGCAGAAAGGTGAGGTTCCCGGAGAGGATGTGTCCATCTCTGGGACTCCCATCCATCCCCCTTACCTTGTCCTTTCCCCTCTTCCCAGGAAACAGGAGGACCATTGAATTATGTAAATAAAATTCTGCTTTTTCTATTCTGAACAAGGACTCATCTAGGACTTTGGCAAATAATCTCTATTTACCTAGAAATTAAGGAATTGGGGTATATTCTGTTCTGGTAACAGGAAATTCACCCCTTTGCTGGAATCCAAGACATACAGTACTCTGCAGAAGCCTCTCCCCTCACAGATCTCTGCGGCTGTTGATTGGTAAAGGAAGCTCGAGGAGGGAACTGCAGCCTTAGCAATCTGGGTGCATGGGGTTCCAAGGGCCCCTGGGCTGGGAGGAGCTGGCTATGAATGTGCATGAAGACACAATAGCTCAAGCTCTTGGATTTTGCATGCAGAGTAGAACCTGCCCTGTCACTGGCTTCATCTGGGATTGTTTTCCACTCACTGGACCTAGAGAACAAAGTGCCCAGTTTACAGGCAGAGACTTGGGGCTGTTCAGCACAGCCCAGATTTAGGGAATGTTTGAGGGACTGTGTGTGGGGGTGGTCTTCAGCCAAAAACCGTCTCTTCTGGCTATACTTGCTTAAACTTAAGTTTCTTTTTCTGTCGATATGTCACCACCCCCTGCTTTTTGGTGTTGCCTCCATAATGTCTTGTGTTTTGTGTGTCCACTTGTGTAGTGTGTGAGCCCTCAGGGGCAGGGCTTGTGGCTCTAGTATTAGGTTCAGGGGGCTGCAGACCCTTCTGCGAACCCCTGGCTATCATAGCTTTCCCCTCTCTTTTCCCCTTTACCCCACTCCTCCATCAGGGCATGGAGCATGTGGCTGTCCTGAGGTTCCTTAATTGATGTGCCTCCCTCCTACCTTCTGAAGTGGTGACTTTGTGTGCCCTTCCCCCTCCTTTGTGTATCCTTTCTCAATGCTTTTCCTTGGTGTCAACCTTAATAAAAAGATGTCATCTCCCCTCTTGCTGACTGGTACTGAGGGGGTTTAAGGGTGGGGCTTCTGGGCCTGCTGTGTGGGTCAGTGCTTAATAGGAAACGTAGGGACCATGCCTTCCCTCCTCTCTTCTTGCCTCCAGCCCTAAAGAGTTAACTGACCTTGGCCTGGTTGGGACAAGCATTGACAACTCTGCCTGCTTTCCTTTCTGCCCCAGACCTGGACTGGGAATTGTGCAGATTGGCACAGAAATACTCAGAGTACAAGGGCTTTTAGTAGCCAGCATTCTACACCTGCCTGAGGCGGCTTTTCCATGAAGCATCCCCCCCCCAACCTTCCCCACCAACCCAGACTTCTTTTCCGTGAAGCATCCCCCCCTCATCAACCCTGCCATAGAGTGACTCCTGAATGAGAGCCCTGGCACAGCGGGCATGACACCTGTTCTAGGGATGGAGTGGCACTCACCATTCTGGAGGGGTTGCCCAGGGTTTCTGGAGTGGAGTGATACATCACTGAGGAAATCACAGTAACTGCCTCAGGCCTCTAGTGGAAGATGCCTGCAAGGTGTTCCCCCGAGAGTCAACACTGACATCATCTCCAAGCAGCTCCTTTGGGTGATGGAGATGTTCTGAGGCTACCCCAGAACAAAGGTTGAGAGCAGACTCGTCTGTGTGTGTGTGTGTGTGTGTGTGTGTGTGTGTGTGCGTGAATGTGTGTATGTGTGTCTGTGTCTTTGAGTTTTTTTTTGTGTGTGTCTATGTGTGAGTGTATGTCTGTGTGTGTCTCTGTGTCTTTGTATGAGTATGTGTGTGTGTTTTTGTGTGTGTATGTGTGAGTGTATGTGTCTGTGTGTCTCTATCTTTGTGTGTTTGTCTGTGTGTGAGTGTGTCTCTGTGTGTGTCTTTGTGTGTGTGTCTGTGTATGTATGTTTGTGTATCTGTGAGTGTATTGTGTCTATGTCTTTGTGTGAGTGTGTCTGTGTGTGTTTGTGTGTGTGTGTGTGTGTGTGTGTGTGTAGCATGTAAAACTGGTTCTATTACAAAGAGGTCCAAAGAGGGATAGAGACTCAGATAAGGGGTTGGATCTTTAAATTCCAATACTGAATTGACTGCCTGAGACTTGGTTTGCAGAATGCATATGACAGGAAGAAAAACTTGTTGGCAAGAAAAAAATATATGAGTCCTAGGAGGTCTTGAGTAAATGTGAGTTTCTTTATAGTTCTCCTGGGGACGTAGGGCGGTGACCGACTCAACCAGGAAGTCACAGGGAAGGTCCCAGAGACTCTTCAATGTATGTGTGTGTGTGTGTGCATACATGCATATGGTGCTCACAGAAACCAGGAGTGTCAGATTCTCAAGAACTGGAGTCTAGGTAGGTGTAAGCTGAGAGACATGAGTGCTGGGAAACATTCAAGTCCTCTGGAAGAGCAGGAAGTGCTCATATTAGTCAAAACATTTCTCTAGCCCTTATTTTGCAGGTCAAATCTGTACTTCCCCCTTTCTTTTCCTTTCTAGCTCTCCTTTCCCCTTTCCTTCCTACCCTCTTCTTCTTTTTGAGACAGGGTCTCATTACATAGCCCTGGATGGCCTGGGCTCACTATGTAGAACAGGCTGGGCTTAGACTCAAGAGATTTACCTGCTTTTGCCTCTTGAGGAAACTCTCATCTTAATATAATCTTTTCCCATGTAAAGGGCCCTTACCCTTGAGGACAGAATTAAGGAAAAGGGCATGATTAGCTTCTCAAGATAGCATGGGCCTTTTTATTTTGAGCGAAAATAGGAATGAGCCCAAAAGGCTAGAGGACTAGCTCTGTATTCAGAAAAAGCCAGAGAAAGCCTTGAGGTATACAATCCTGGGTATGGGTGCTGGGACCCTCAGGATAGCAGATAGAGTAGGACAGCAACATAGGTTTCTGATACCGTTTCAACATTCAGCATCGATTACCACAGTGATGATCAGTTATTGAGCTCCAATTTTACCTCTCAGCAACTCTATCAGGTAGAACTGTTACTATTTTTACATAACAGTTCAGACACAAAATTAAGACTTTAAGGTCACAGACTGGGATCGACAAAGCCTAACCCCAAGATAGCCCGATTTAAAAGAACCCTAGATAGAAATCATCTTTCTAATTGCTCTTGTATTTGGATCTTCAAAGAGCCCGAGAGAATCCTGAAAAAGAAACCAAGCTCATTTAGTCAGTTTCCACCTTCTCAGTTTGAAGGGATCACAGTTCATGTTTTGGTTCATGACCTTTCTCAGCATCGAGTGGATGATAACCTACTAACTGCGTGGGGCGGATGGCTGCCTGGATCTGCTGTTGGAGGGAAAGGTTCAAGGCTTTCAGGCATTCCTTCCTCCCTCAGGTGAGCTCCCATTCTGTTCCTGGTGGCTCAGATCCTCCATCATTTGACCCGATTCCCAAAGGCAGCATAGCTCATAGCTCATGTAGACTCCATAGGAAGTTCTGGTTGAGTCCGTTAGCCACCAACTTCAGTTTTATTTCTATGCGTGTGTGCCCCCAGCCCCATAGTTATCACCTGCAAGTCCAGATAGAGAACAATCTTCCTACGGAAAGAAATGATTCAACCTTTTATCTACACCAGCATCTCACAGAGATTCTGCACAGGCTGCCCTGCCCCACCCCGCCCCTCATTTCTGCCTTCCCTATTTCCCACTGGCCTCTGGGGTTTCTTCTTCAGACTGCTGGTGAGTTTCAGTCAGTTTCCCACCCAGGGTTTATGGCAGGCCTCATTGTTGAATTTCACGAAGCCACAGCCATTGAAAATTAAACCCAAAAAATCCTGCAGATATATATTTTTTCTAGAGTTTCAGAAAGGGCTATTGTCTCTGCTTATTCCTTAAAGACTAAGAATCAGGCTTTTAGAAAAATGGTAAGAGCCATTGAGTAAAGTGTAATGAGACTTTTCAATTAAAAATATATCCACGAAGACCTGTGTGAGGCTGGGATGTCCAGCATCCATGCCTCCTGGAGCCTCCAGCTTATTTCCTGTCAGGAAGTGAAATGGCCGTCTCTGTCTCATTATTTTCCACTTACTTGATGAATTTTAATTACACCGACACCTCTCAGGAGGTGCAATCCTGCCAATACTTTCAAACCCACAATAGTAGAAATCTGTCAAAGTGCTGCTGGTGCCCCAGAGCCTAAGGAATGTCTGTGGTCTCCTGAGAATGGACTCCTCTACTCACCAAAGACAAATGGAGGGGGCAGTTCCATCCAAGTCTACATTAGTGAACCAGTGATTTGATTGGGTGGTTTAACGGGGGGAGGGGGAGATATTACTTACTGCATCAGGAGACAGCCTACTCCAGCATGAGTGACTACCCCCAAAAGCTGCATCCCTGCCCCACTTGCAGACAGCTTCAGCTAAGAGTCTTACACACCAGGGCCACTGCTTACATAACCTTTCAGGGGTGGGTCTTGTGATGTCCTAACTTTCTGGGCTTTGAGTTCCCAAAGCCTCCACCCTCTCTTCAGGAAGAGCCCCCTTTCCTGACAGGGTTTCTCTGTGTAGCCTTGGCTGTCCTGGAATTCACTCTGTAGACCAGGAGATCCATCTACCTCTGCCTCCCAAATACCGGGATTAAAGGTGTGTGCGAGCACCACCTGCCAGGGGGTCACATTTTAAGAGGAAACAACTCCACATCAGTCTCCATGCCTTCACGGTAAATTCTTCTGTTTGGGACCAACACAACTCCACATACAACTCATTGCATGTCTCAGTTGTGAGAACTCCCATCTCTAACTGGTCCAAGGACCCTCTTTTAAAAATTAGCTCTTTATCTCAATGACAAAGCACATCTTGTTTCATAGAAATAAATTACAACTTTAGCCTGGTGCCAATAAATCTGCTC